ACATTGCATGTAAAGCTGAACTCGGCAGATTTCCCCTAGATATAGATGTTTCAGTCAGGGTTGTAAAGTACTGGTTACGGCTAAGACAACTAGATTTCTGCACACATCCTCTACAAGTGGATGCTCTATTGTCTCAACAACATGATATAGTAAACGGCAACAAGAAAAACTGGTTATGCCACGTGAAAGAGATACTCGACAATAGCGGTAACTCGTTCATTTGGCAAAATAGCAATCTACATGTAAGGCTAACAGACATGTATACTCAAACCTTCCTCCACAATTTATCTATCAATAGCGGCAAATTAAGATTGTATAGAAAACTAAAAGATGACTACAATATGGAAACCTATCTGCATCACCCTGATTTTGAGCTAAGATCATCTCTATGTAAAATGAGACTAAGCGCTCACACATTAGAGATAGAGGGAGGAAGATATAAGAAACTGCCTGTAAGCGAAAGATTATGTAAATACTGTACAGAGGGAGCAGTGGAAGATGAAATTCATTTTATCTGTCAGTGTCCTCATTACGATTTTGAAAGAAAAAAGTTATTTAAAGATGTCGCCAATATTTTCCCAAGTTTTTCCTATCTCAACCAACAACAAAAGACTATATTATTGCTTAAGTCCCCCAACCCATTTATTTTTCAAAGAGTCGGACAATTCCTCTCCCACTGCCTCCTGAGAAGGAGTCAAACCCCATAATAGTATGACAAGAATAGTTTAATAGAATAGAATAGATTAGAATAGCAGTTACCTTGTTCCTATTACCTGTTCACATATTGCATATTTACTTTTTTATCCTGTATGTATACCAACGTTATTAGATTTTTAAAAGTAGAGACAGTAGGTTCGATAAGTATATCGTACACGTAGAAGTTCCTGTTAGCAAATAGTCTAATACATGTTCTTGTCAATGTCTGTATGCAATTAGCCCTCGGGCAGGAATTTGCAATAAACAACTTATATCAACTATAGGTACAAAAATCTCCCTTCTGCTTTATGTGGGTGAAATGGAGATGACTCGAAGTAATCCAATCCTTGCCCACTGTAAAAAAAAAACATTTTGAACAGGTCACCACACAAACACATCTGACGCTGTCCTTTGTCACCGAATGAACATGCCAGTATAGGTAAACAGTTCGCTCTATTCACATGAAGAAAGGCGTGGTTAGGGACCGTACGATATTTAGCGGGGGGGNGGGCCAATTTGACCCTCTCTGGCGGCCAACCTTCTCTGGCCAATTCATACCCTTTTTATGGCGATTTCTACGATTTATTCAACCCGCAAAAGAAGTCTGGTTGAGACTACCGTGTCGCCACGTGAATAGCCTGCCATCCAGTTTTACGTGATTGGAGGTGTTGGGGTGTTCAGGCAGGCTGTCTTCGGGGGCTCTAATAGCTTCCCCGCCAAGTGCAACAGTCCGTCCCGGTAGGAGTGTTACGCCGATAAGAGACAGTATGCTTGGGGATTCGTTAGTGGAGGGCTCCCCCCAGCTCCAAATTTTTTCCTTGACCCTCCCCCGGCTCAAATTTTTCTCCTCGACCCTCCCCCTGACGTCCATAATATACATTGGAAGAAAAATGACGTTTACACGTCCAACGGCCGGAAGACGTTCCCGCCCGCCCGGAGTGTAGAGGACGTCCAAACAATATATTAATTACATGTACTAGTATATTTTATAGCACTGCATTTTGGGGGGGGGGAGGACACCTCGAAAAAAATTAATTTGTCGTCCTCAACAACGCTATGTACTCTAAATTTTGCAAGCCGCCCACGATAAGGCCGGAGAAATTGTCACATTTTTTACCTTTAAAATAAATACCTCAAAAAGTACCAGAGATTACTCCGCTGAAATTTTATCAATATAACGTTACTAGTATTCCAAAATATTGTATCCGCCTATAACAGCCGTATGCAGATATGGCAAAGGGCGACGTCAGAGGCGGCGGCAGGAAATCTTGACTGGGGGGGGGGCGAGATTTGTATGGAACCCACTATCGTCTCGAGCGCCGAAGGCGCGATCCGCCGCACCGCAGGAGCGGCGAACCTAGGGGGATCCGGGGGCATGCTCCCCCGGGAAAATTTGAGATTTTAACCCTCTGAAACGTGTTTTCCTGCATTTTCGGGGGGAAATTTTGCTGCTATACGAAGCTAGATAGCTAGTACTTTGTAGCTAAGTTTCTTGCTATTCGACTGCATGACGTCCACGAACTTCTTCCACAATACAGAACGGGGATCGGGCTTGCTCCCCGGGAAAATTGTAAAGTCTTGACCCTCTGGAAACGCCATTTCCTGTATTTTGGGAACGCATTTTTGCTGCTTTGCTGGTACACAATTCTGAGTTTAATATCGCTATCCGTTATCCGACCAAGTGTCTTTCTCATTAATTCACTAGAAGGAGAATTTGTATTTATCTGTATGTAGTAAAATAATGTGATACGTTTGAGACAGCCGTTATCACGTGTAAAAGTAGTTATCACGGGTTTCGACTAAAATTATTTTTTGAATTAAAATGAGATAAATAGCTGAAGCTTTCTGATCCTTACACCTGATCCAACCTTCTGTTTAGGTGAATAGAGCAAACCGATTATTAGAGATTTTACCAAAGGAGCTGGCATGTTCAGATCGTGACAAAGGGCAATGTCAGGTGCGTTAACGTTTGTGTGATGACTTGTTGAAAAGGAGCGCCAAGTCCAAGTGATCTACCCGTAGCCCTTCCTCCCTGTTGTGGGTAGCGACCAGCACATACTTTCATATTTTGCCTCTCTTCTAATATCTCCCCGTTCCCACCAGCGGGTTTCGCGGTCTAAGATATCCGAGTTTGAAAGATCTCGAGTGACCCTGGTTGTGTTGTAGGTATTGGAAAATGGCTGAGGAGTAGCCGTTAGCACTAAGTCTGCAATGTTCCTTGTACCTTACTTTCAGTGGCCGACTGGCCTCTCGATGTAGGTGTTGTTACGAGTACAATTAGACTCCTCACATTGGAGTCTGTACATAACATATATATAAGCTTTGATATCTTTCTGATTTCGGACTTAAGGGTGTACCAGTTTTTATCCGAGGGTTGAGTAAGGTTGGCACTCCAAGCCACCCACGTATCTATGTCATGGCATATGTGTTTCCACCCGCACACAATAATCTTCTGTAAGAATATCTCAACACACCAAGGAAACGGTGAATCAAACATTGCCCACAGTAAAAAAAATAAAAAAACACCTGGCGTTTTGCTTTCTCGTGGTCTGAACACGCTGGTTTCTTTGTTAAACTGTCGGCTTCACGGTCACGGACAATCAAGGTTTGAGGAGCCAAAAGTCTTTGCGCTCACTATAGGTACCAAAACCTCACTTCTGCTTTGTGTGGGTGGAATGTATATGACTCGAAGGTAATCCAATCCTTCCCACAGGGCCCGGCTCATTCGATCAACGAAAAATCAATAATTTATATCAGGAATATACGCAAATAGGTACCATTGTCGTTTTATTCGATTTGTGCTTTGTTGTCTTATATCATACTTTTCGTTCTTTAAGACTGTCCGACCGGGCCCCGGTTTGGAAGGAGGGGGTGGGCATATTGTCAAGCAGAGTGCTATGAAACAAGTTTTAGTTACTTCTAAAAATGTTGTCCTTACCAAAACTGTCAGGCCAGGACTACCTCGTATCATCATAAGTCGTGAACATTCCGACCCTTCCGATCACCTGATCCAAGCTTTTGTTCAGGTGAACAGAGCAAACGGTCAATAGAGATTGTACCAAAGGAAAGGGCATGTTCAGACCGTGGCAGAGGGCAATGTCGGGTACGTTTGTGTGATGGCCTCTTCAAAAGGTGTTGTTTACTGTGGGCAGGGACTGAATTACCTTGAGTCATCTCTATTTCACCCCCGCGAACATGTTTAGCAAACATGTGCATTAATTGAAAGTTTCAATCTTAGTATATATACGTACACATACGGGGTTTATGATATGCTGAGATTATGTTCCATACCATTCACTGTAGTCTGCGTCTGACTTAAGGAAAAACGCTAGGGATATCACACAATGCACACCAACACACAAATTCAGGTCATAATGGTCACTACATGGGCCACTTTGATTTTTTCCTCTACAGTGTCAGCCCTGTAGTCACAACCATGGATAAAGATCAAGATCATGAAGATCAGACAGAAAACAAAAAAATCCGCCTCCGTCTGGCAAAAGACATCATTAAAGAAAATAGAGTGGGCGGAGCCGGCTGGACGTACCTGGACATCGCGCTACAGGTGGACGAGTACTGCCCCAAAACTATCCTGGTCAAAACACGGAAGTGCGACCAGCGGGGAAACATCGTTCTCGAACCCAAGGCTAGGGAGAAGACGAGTAACTATCTCGTTCCCAGGGACCCGAGAGGCGCGACGATTCTTGACGACGTCTCCGTTCAGAGCTACCCGAGGGAGGTGTCTTGGAAAAAGACGTACAGATGCGAGAGAAGCGTCAGCGGTAACCTCAGTGTCAAGGTAATGGGGGTCGTGGGCGTCTCAGCTGGTGGCAGCAAAACGAGCAGGAGTTATGTGGAGACCGCCTGTACCGATCTGGAGCGCAGAAGTGTGGATATAGAAGACCTGAGGAACGCGCTGTGTGCTCTGACGGCCCAGACCAGCGCAGAAGGGATGAGGGACGAGACCAGCTTCCTGGTGGTCACCGACGTGCTGGTCGGGAAGGACGTCAGCATTGTGGAGAAAAAGGACTCAAAGAAAGGCGGAAAGGTATGTCAGAATTTTGGACGATATAACATAGCCCACTTTTCATTGCATGCCCTATACTACTTGTTCTACAAAGTCTGTGTATGGTCTAGGTTTTCTAATACGGGACGTTTGCAATGATGAAATATAGATACAGTACCCAATTGTTAAAGTACGCTTTATAATTGCAGGCAGGCGTACACGTTGGTGTCCCCGCAGTGAGCGTTAAGACTAAAGTTCACATTACCAAGAAGGTGGATGCCAGCCTAGAACGCATTGACAATAACGTCATTCTCGCCATCAAACTGGCTCGAGTCCATTATGACAAGGAAGGCACCATAAAGAGTGTAGATGATGGAGCGAATTACGATGGGCACTACACCCTGGGCGTCGGTAACAAGGACAGGAAGGGGTATTGTGAGTAGGATTATGTTTACGTCCGGATACGGAAGTATTGTTTTGGGTGGCTGAGTTGTGGGTTTGTATATCTCTGTCCTAATTGCTTCTGTTGCATGGTGGGTGGGGGGGGGGTGATTTTGACAGATGATTGATAGGAAGGTCTCGCCGGAAGGTGACCCATCACGCGCTGGATGTGTATGGAGGACCCAGGGAAGTGGTGTAATTACACCGATTAAATTACACTACATAATCACCTATATGGCTTATTCACCACAGATGGTCACGTGACTCTTCCCCCGGCAGCGAGCATTGTCCGCCATTAGGGGGTGCAGCATGGTGCCTTTCGGCTATGGTACGCTATGCAAACTCTTGGCGATAGTTGCGCATTTTGGGCCACAATCTACGTTTTGAACACTCTTCTTGTTAGTAACATTGTCCTTGGGGTTGTTCTGGCTCCATGTCCACGTCTCATGTTCTCAAGATCGGCTTTTATCTTTTTTTGCTGATCAGAAAATCGGTGTGTTTTACCCTGGCGTAGGGGCCTGTAGATCGCCCCCTGTAGATGTCAACGTGGATAGCCATGGACACGTTAAATCTGTTGAAGCTACCTGTCCCTTTACTCTGTGGTAAATGTCCATGTAGAACAGGGCACTGGCAACTTGTAACACTCACCTTGTCCAGCCACAGTCGCGGCAGTGCGGACTGAGGATGGCGGCCGGCGGCCGATGGCCCCGCATTTGTTTGTTATTATCCAGACACAGTCCGGGGCTGTTCCAAAATAGCGACCTTTTGCGTATCCCGACTACAACGTACTTGTCACCACGCAACTGCATGTCCCACAACACTCTCTACACATCCTGCTACAACGCTTCCAGACTCTTAGAGGGTTTGAACCGATGTTGTGTGTAAAAACTTCGGCCCAGTACCAAATACGAAGCTAAAGCCTCGGTCACAACTCGCCGTACGTGCTTCTGCGTGCTGTCTACGTGCAAAAACGTGGGCAAACGTACGGCATCCGTACGTGGTGAGTACCGCCTCCGTACGGAATCCTACGGATTTGGGAGCACGCAGACACGCCGTAGAACCTTAAGTGCATGTAATACTTTTTCTACGTGCGGTCTGCGGATTTACCACCCGTGCGTGCGAGTACGTGCGACGCGCGTGCCCCGTACAGCCTATGAGCGTGCAACGTACGGACTCCGTGAGTCTAACTTCACTATTCTCACGTGCAATTGCTGTACGGACAGCGCACGAAGCACGTGAGTGCCACGCACGGTGCTTGCGTCATCCGTGCTTACTCCTCACTTCCCAGTTGACCTGCTCAATAACCACGCAGAACACACGTGCACCATACTAGGTGCTCCGCACGTGCAACGCACGTGCAACGCACCTTATTTCTACAGTATATAAAGACGACTTGACGGGCGACTGCCAACTCGTCTCCAAGATGCCCAGGAAGGCTCAAAAGAAGTCTACCAGACAAGATCCAAAGAAACGGGCCGCGGAAGACACCAGGGCGGCTAGTGATGATGAAGTCAACAGGAGGTGCACGCACTTACAACGTGCGAGTGAGTAAGGAAATCGTGCGCACGCCGCACGTGTAGGTACGGCCTGTACGCGGCAACTTGGCTATCGCACAGAGATCGTACGTTGTAAGCACGTACAACTCACTTACCACTTGCGCAACGTACGATGCACGCAGCCGCTGACGGCCAGGCGTGTCGTGCAGACCACGTACGTACACCTTGCGAGTGACGTACTCCCTCGGCCGGCCATCCTACGTTTGCAGAAAAAACGTAGCAGACGTAGCCACGACAAAAACGTACGGACAAAAAGCACGCACGGCGAGTTGTGACCGTCGCTTAAGTCGCGTCAATGGACTCCGCTGGCGGTAGACGCCGTCTCGATCAGACTGATCAAAACTCAACAAAAACGGGTCAATCCCAACAGATTTTATTTTGTTCCAGTAACGAGAGGTATGAGTGGTGGTAAACTCTTCGTGTAATAGGACAAAGGACAGTTTACCTAACGTTTGTCGGCCATTTCAACGCTTGGAAACTCGCTGTAGGCGCTGTAGCCCCAAAATGGCGTCGCACGGGACATGAGGGGTCGTGACGTCATGATGACGTGTGGTGAATAAGCTCTATACAATTCCAATACATTCACAAAAACCTAAAACACTTCTTTTAATTTGACAGGTCCATCAAAACACAAATACTTCCCGGTAGTCCAAAATCTCCAATTTCCTATCTTTTTGATATCTGTGTGTAAAATTATGAAATTCATACGAGACAGAGCAAACCTACTAGTATATTTCTCGCAAAGACGGACTTTGATCGTATCGTGTCCCCTCCCCACACAGACACCATGACGGCAATGGCGAAGGCCACAGGCGAGAAAAAGGACAAGTTCGAGATCAAGGTGAATCTTCTCGGGCGACAGAACAGCTCAGAGGTCAAGGTGCCACAGGACGTCTGCGAAACCGGGTATTAAAAATGATATAGCTTCTTTAATAGCACATTGATACTAGTGTTATATATTTCAAAATGGTCCCGTTTGAAAGGACATACAACTTTTACATCGTAGGATTCTTCATACAGGACTGAGAGCATAATGAAATATGTTTCAACGTTCATCAATGATCATTCAAGGTACAAAGATACATTTCCTAATTGACTACAACGCTATATTGAGCTTCTTGCTCCTATATAAAGCAGCTTTTACTAATACTTTCATATAGACAGTGCTTGAGAGCTAGACTTCATGTATATACGTTAGTTTTTTTGGTTTGTTTGCTTGTTTTTTTAGGCTGCATCAAACCAGGAAAAGCCTCCCCACTGACTCCAAACTGCTGCCATTGAAAGGAATTCTGGTATCAATGCTGAAGGGGGAGAAGAGCCTTCTCCTTCGGTTGAAATATCGCCTTCAACCAAAGAAAGAAGAGAAGGTCACGCTATCCAGGGTAGGCCCTGAAACGTCATGAAAAACTGAACATCAAGAAAGAATAACCATCTGTATCTGTATAGCCGGTATAACTGCCCTTCGGCGTAACACACCAGCTGCTGTATCTGTATAGCCGGTATAACTGCCCTTTGGCGTAATACACCACCTTTTTTATTTGTATAGCCGGTATAACCGCCTTCGCTTGAAGCAGGCACACTGCGCGGCGGCAGCTGGCTACATTACACCGAACGACTTGTTACACCTAACCGTTGAACATCTAACTCTAAGCATTGTTTACAACTATCAAATGATAATATCCCTACTGTGCTTGGTGAGAGGGAGTTGCACCCTGCAAAGCTTAAAGAATGAGTTTTTGAACACCTCAGCCCATTGGTTGATACTTGAAGGTATGACATTATATATTAAGCCATGTATGCTCTTGTTCGATTTCATCGTCTACTTACAGTCACCGTGTATAACCAAGGGTTCCATGCACTGGTATGCTTCAGTCTGAGTAAGGTATCAAACCGTGTCTTTCAAAACTGTTTCTTACCTACATGTAGGTACTGGTGACAGACCTGGAGCAGGACCAAACCTACATCTGCCCCTGTAGCGAGGAAAAAGCCGTTACCGACGACAGGAGCCTGTGGTTCGACTGTAGGCAGTGGAGAGAGGAGGTTGCAGGAAATGGTGAGAACGATGAAATACCCAAGAGTAACTAGACATGCATTTTGGAAATAAAGATGATAGAAAATTGCTGGAGGACATTTTGCACGATTTGGCAGATGAGAAGTACGGGTAATTTGTCAAATTTCATGATTTTCCTGTTTTCAGAGTTCCAAGTGACTTTTGAGGGTGACTCCTACTCAGTGTACGAAGAAGATCCGGTCGTTCGCGTCCTTGGTGACCGAAAATGGGATGACAACGGTCGTTTGTCTCTAGAAACAGGCAGACACACGGAGGTAACATAAATCTGTCATTATCTTGCCAATTGTAAACCAGGACCAAGGAGGGTGGTAACGTGATGACGTGTTCTACGAAAACTGGCAACCTCAAAAAGCTATAGCAAAGCCATAGCAAATATTGAAACGTCGACTCTTCTATATGTTGTATTGATAACTGCAGTTTAAAGATTCTTCTACTTTTAAATCAATTCTATAACACACATGAAATTTTTAAAGGTTCTATACCGGTTGAAGTAATAATTAATTCACTGATTGATAAAACTGTATGTTGGTCTGCACGTTGTTCTAAGGTAGCCGAATTTATCTGGTTGAACCCTGAGGCTAAAAAAAAGGCAAGAGACTACGTCGAGGCAGCCCGTACGTTTAAGGACTACGGAATTAAAGCTAACGCCTTCATTGAAATACGTGATCCGCTACGGCTAGGAGTTACGCGTAAGTATAGGTTTTTATACTCGCAAACTAATGATATCTGGATAGTTGCTTACCGTATATTAACAATGATCGTCAATTCATGACTGACATGAGTCACTTTGCTTTGATACTGATATGAATACAGCTAATGCCTATATGGTCCTGTACATACGATTTCTTGATTCTGCCTGCATTAAGTCTTAAAACTTGTATCATTAATCAGGACCAGAATCAGAGGACGAATATGGATCAGAAGACTCGTGGCTAAGGACGTTTGGATGTACGGGCGGTAGGTATATTCCTTTATATTCGCGAACTAATGATATCTGGATAGTTGCTTACCGTATATGAACATTAAATGATAGTCAATTCATGAGGCACATTGCTTTGATACTGATATGATTACAGCTAATGCCTATATGGTCCTGTACCGACGGTTTCTTGATTTTGCCTGCATTAAGTCTTAAAACTTGTATCATTAAACAGAACAGAGATCCAGGACTTCTCATAGTCAAGCTTCTGTGAGGGGTAAGTATATGCCTTTATACTCGCAAACTAATGATATCTGGATAGTTGCTTACCGTATATTAACAATGATCGTCAATTCATGACTGACATGAGTCACTTTGCTTTAATACTGATATGAATACAGCTAATGCCTATATTGTCCTGTACATACGGGTTCTTGATTTTGCCTGCATTAAGTCTTAAAACTTTAATCATTTATCAGAACAAAGATCCAGGACTTCTAATAGTCAAGCTTCTATGATGCGTAAGTATATGTCTTTATACCCGCGAACTAATGATATCTGGATAGTTGCTTACCGTATATCAACATAACATGATCGTCAATTCACGAGGCACTTTGCTTTGATACTGATATGAATACAACTTATTACTGTATGTATGAATAAGTATGAATATAGCTAATGCCTATATGGTCCTGTATATACGGTTTCTGGATTCATAAGTCATGGCCTTATGTCTCACAAGGGACGAAGAGGATAAGTAAGTAAGTATGAATATATGGTCCTGTATATACGGTTTCTTGATTTTGCCTGCATTAAGTCTTAAAACTTCTATCATTAATCAGATCAGAGATCCGGGGCTTCTCAAAGACCAGCTTCTATGATGGGTAAGTATATGTCTTTATACTCGCGAACTAATGATATCTGGATAGTTTCTTACCGTATATGAACATTAAATGATCGTCAATTCATGATGCACTTTGCTTTGATACTGATATGAATACAGCTAATGCCTATATAGTCCTGTACAGACGGTTTCTTGATTTTGCCTGCATTAAGTCTTAAAACGTGTATCTTTAATCAGGACCAAGATACAACACGGCTTCTATTCCTAAGAGGGGTAAGTATATGTCTTTATACTTGCGAACTAATGATATCTGGATAGTTGCTTACCGTCTATGAACATTAAATGATCGTCAATTTATGAGGCACTTTGCCTTGATACAAATTTGAATACAGCTAATGCCTATATGGTCCTTTACCGACGGTTTCTTGATTTTGCCTGCATTAATTCTTAAACCTGTATCTTTAATCAGAACAGAGATCCGGGGCTTCTCAAAGGCCAGCTTCTATGATGGGTAAGTACATGTTTATGTCTTTATACTCGCAAACTAATGATATCTGGATAGTTGCTTACCGTATATGAACATTAAATGATCGTCAATTCATGAGGCACTTTGCTTTGATACTGATATGATTACAGCTAATGCCTATATGGTCCTTTACCGACGGTTTCTTGATTTTGCCTGTATTAAGTCTTAAAACTTGTATCATTAATCAGGACCAAGATACAACACGGCTTCTATTCCAAAGAGGGGTAAGTATATGTCATTATACTTGCGAACTAGTTGCTTACCGTATATGAACATTAAATGATCGTCAATTCATGAGGCACTTTGCATTGATACTGATTTGAAAACAGCCAATGCCTATATGGTCCAGTACAGACGGTTTCTTCATTTGCCTGCATTGAGTCTTAAAACTTGTATCATTAATCAGATCAGAAATCCGGGACTTCTCAAAGGCAAGCTTCTATGATGGGTAAGTATATGTCTTTATACTCGCGAACTAATGATATCTGGATAGTTTCTTACCGTATATGAACATTAAATGATCGTCAATTTATGAGGCACTTTGCTTTGATACTGATATGAATACAGGTAATGCCTATATAGTCCTGTACATACGGTTTCTTGATTTTGCCTGCATTAAGTCTTAAAACTTGTATCATTAATCAGGACCAAGATACAACACGGCTTCTATTCCTAAGAGGGGTAAGTATATGTCTTTATACTTGCGAACTAATGATATCTGGATAGTTGCTTATATGAACATCAAATGATCGTCAATTTATGAGGCACTTTGCTTTGATACTTATTTGAATACAGCTAATGCATATATGGTCCTTTACGACGGTTTCTTGATTTTGCCTGCATTAATTATTAAACCTGTATCTTTAATCAGAACAAAGTTCCAGGGCTTCTCAAAGGCCAGCTTCTATGATGGGTAAGTATATGTCTTTATACTCGCAAACTAATGATATCTGGATAGTTGCTGACCGTATATGAACATTAAATGATCGTCAATTTATGAGGCACTTTGCCTTGATACAAATTTGAATACAGCTAATGCCTATATGGTCCTTTACCGACGGTTTCTTGATTTTGCCTGCATTAATTCTTAAACCTGTATCTTTAATCAGAACAAAGATCCAGGGCTTCTCAAAGGCCAGCTTCTATGATGGGTAAGTACATGTTTATGTCTTTATACTCGCAAACTAATGATATCTGGATAGTTGCTTACCGTATATGAACATTAAATGATAGTCAATTAATAAGGCACTTTGCTTTGATACTGATTTGATTACAGCTAATGCCTATATGGTCCTGTACATACGGTTTCTTGATTTTGCCTGTATTAAGTCTTAAAACTTGTATCATCAATCAGGACCAAGATACAACACGGCTTCTATTCCAAAGAGGGGTAAGTATATGTCATTATACTTGCGAACTAGTTGCTTACCGTATATGAACATTAAATGATCGTCAATTAATAAGGCACTTTGCTTTGATACTGATTTGAATACAGCCTATATGGTCCTGTACAGACGGTTTCTTGATTTTGCCTGCATTAAGTCTTAAAACTTGTATCATTAATCAGGATCAGGATACGGGGCTTCTATGAGTGGAAATTATAGGGCTTTATACTCGCGATCTAATGATATCTGGATAGTTGCTTAACGTATATGAACATTAAATGATCGTCGATTGATGAGGCACTTTGCTTTGATACTGATATGAATACAGCTAATGCGTATATTGTCCTGTACCGACGGTTTTTTGTTTATTTTGCCTGCATTCATTCTTAAACTTGTATCATTAATCAGAACAAAGAACCAGGGCTTCTCAAAGACCAGCTTCTATGATGGGTAAGTATATGTCATTATACTTGCGAACTAGTTGCTTACCGTATATGAACATTAAATGATCGTCAATTCATGAGGCACTTTGCATTGATACTGATTTGAAAACAGCCAATGCCTATATGGTCCTGT